TGTTGGCATGGCCGCCGCCAGGTGCTGCCGCTTAACCAACAAACCTGGCTGTGTATAATGTGAGACGGGAAACAGAACGGGGGGTCTCAGACTAGGAGATAACGCAGAATTTGGTTGTTTTCTGATTTACCTTGAAGCCGTACGTACTGTTCATCTCATTCCTGAAGGCATGGCCCTAGCTACAGGCTTATTAGGCTGGAAACAGTACTTCCTCCTCTCTCCTGAGTGTCGTATGGGCAAAGAGGCAGGACTCTTTCCCCTCTGCTCTCACTTCTCCAATAAAGGAGTGACTTGGTTGGCTGCTGATTTGGGAGACACTGAGATAAGCATATCTCAGCACCTGTGTGGTCTCTGACACAAGAACCAGTGAGGCCGACAGGGAACATGGCATTGAGTTTCTTGGCCATGGGACAGAAAGAGCCTGCCTTGATTGGGAACCCCGTGGTTTATAGTTCCACCGCCGAGTAATTAGGTCTAATGCTGGAGCTTCTGGGTTATTCTCTGCAGACGTTATATTAGCCCATATCCTCCAACATCACTACCTCAAAATAACATTTTCCCATCTGTTTAGATCTGGGCAGGTGTATGTGGGCAAGTGGTGCTATTTTTTCTTCCTGAACCATAGCACGTCTTAGAAATTGGTACAGTTATCCTTCAATAGCTCCTCAGTGCCGGGATACCCCTAGCCTACAGATGCTCACATTCACAGATGCTCACAACTCTTCCATAAAATGGTGCAGCATTCACCAACCCCATGCACATCTTCCTGCCTCATCACTGGGTTACTGATAATACCAACTGCGATGTAACACTATGTAAACAGTTGTTACATTTATTGTTTAAGGAGTAATGACTAGGAAGCAGTCTCCACATGTTCAGGACACTTGAAACTTTCCTCCATGCCTCATAGCTTCTCTCTTAGGCGCACGGAATCCACAGACACAAAACTGGCCGCCCAAGCTGTCTATGCTGGGGGCTTTGTATTCCTGTGCCATTGAGACAGCTGAGACAAAATTACTTTTCTGTCCTCGGTTAAAGGTTTCTAGAGGATGGATCTGGATCCCTTGGGTGGCTTTCTCTATAAATATTTCCTGGCACCTTTAAGCTGTTTCAGATGTAAACTATGAATGTTTTCTTTCTTTTAAAGAATTTCATTGAACTCTTGTTTGGGATTTAACTTTTTCACTTGAGAAAGGAAATGGCATGCAACACATTGTTACCAGACAGCTATGCAGGAATAAAGTCCCAGGAGCAGTCCACTCTGGAACTTGAGGATTCTGTTGTCTTCATTGTTGTGTACGAATTCCAAACATTCTTCAAACGTTCTATAAATGAAGCCTAGAAAGGAGAGAAACAGAGTGATCTTGTGGTAGCATGGCGTGGGGATCGGGGAGGCAGAGTCTTGCCGGCTTTTATTTTGCAATAGAATTTCCCACTGCAGAGGACTCGCCCACTTCTGTGTTGGACCCAACAATATGTGACTGACATAAAAAAATGTTTTAGAATGTTTTTGACTTAGCAGACCGCAAGCTTCTACCAACTCAAGCTTAAAGCTAAGAGTGTCTCCAGACAACCTCTGAGGCCTATAGCAGAGGTCTGTCCACTTCCCCGTAATGGATCTCTCTGACGTTCCTACTTATATACTTGAAAAGCACCTTGATTTATGACTTTCCTTGTAATATTATTATAAAAGAGTTCAAGGAACTGGTTCCATGTTGGAGCATAGAATTGTGTTCCTGGGCCATCGTCTTTCATGTTTGGCTCCGGAATACAGTCTTTCTTATCCTCTGAGTTAAGAGCTGTTTTTGTGTGGACATTAGCAGCAGCTACTAATGCCTGTGAGGGCCATTCTCAACAGGCTAACCATTGTAGGCTTGTAAAAGCCTAAACCTGGCAACACATTGTCACTGACCATGTTCCCGCTCAAGAATCATGCAACCAAGTTACAAAAGATCTCATAAAGTTTTAAGTAAATTTACAATTTTATTGGGCCAAGTGCTGGGTAGTTTTGTTGGTTTGTTTGTTTTGTTTTGTTGTTGTCAATTTAACATAAGCTAGAGTCATCTAGGAAGAGGGAACCTCAATTGAGAATATGCCTCTATCAGTCCTGTAGGTCCTGATGTGGGAAGGTCCAGCCCATGGTGGTAGGTGGTCCTGGGTTGTGTTAAAAAATAGTGTAAGCAAGTCAGAAGAACAAGCCAGTGAGCAGCACTCTTTCATGACCTCCGCTTCTGTTCCTGCCTCCAGGTTCCTGCCTTGAGTTCCTGCCCTGACTTCCCTTAATAATGAATTGTAACCACGAAGGTGAAATGCATCCTTTCCTCCCCCAGTTGCTATTGGTCATGGAGTTTTATCACAGCAACCAAGACCAAACAACAGCAGTCCAGACTCACACAACGGCAACACGTTGCCTGCAGGCCATGTGTTGGGCATGCTTTTCCACATGAAGTCATCACTAAATCCTGCAAAAATTAAATACTCCC